AAGACTCCGTCTCAAAAAAAAAAAATTTTTTTAATAAATAATTGCAGTGCCCTTTGCTCTATGGTGCATTATTGCTACTTCCCAGAGCACACAGTCACTGAGTAATAACAAGGGCACAGTATTTCAAATCAACAGAACTCGTTCACATTCTGGTTCTACTCCTTACTAAGTGCAATTAATCCTTGCACTCAGTTTCCACCCCTGTAAAATGGGAACAACTCTTAGAGTTCTACCAATATACTGTAGGACTCTGGTAAGTATCCTTCAGCAAGAATCACAGCTCTTTTGAGGCTGTGGTCTTCATTTTAGATAAGATATTCTGGCCAGGGAAGAAATGTCTCAACTCCTGCCAAAAAGAATTTATTCAATATGTAAATTTACCTTAAGACTTCTTCATCCATCTATTTCTGAGAGGACATAAATGCTATAAAAATGGAACACATGATGCAAAATTAAGAGAATCAGGATTAAAATAGAAACTCTGTCTAAAGAATACAAAGGATAAGTGCCAAGGCTCTAGCAGTGAAGACAAACAGGGAAACGTGCTGGCTTGCATGGATCCTATTTTCTGGCTGACAAGAACAAGCAGCACATAGAACACTGTGCAGCCAGCATGTACCCAGCCAAGTTCAAAGTGCAGCTTCTTTAACCTGGGAGCCATGATGAACAACAAAGTGATCACTGACAACTTGGGAGCCAGAGCTTCCAGGCAACTGCTCACCCTCTGTCCTCCCTAGGCCAAGGACACTCCCTGTTTTGAGAGAATAGAAAAGCAGACACATTTCCAGTCTGAACCACACATCACACTTCTGCCTGTACAATTTCAGAATAAACAACTTATAGCCAAATTCCTGGCAGAGAAACCATTATTCTGACCATAAAAAAGTATAAACAGGTTCAATCATAGGCTCTGGGTAAAGATAAGAAATTATGCGCAGTGGCATTCTCCAACTCTAATTCAGCCAGGAACAGTGCATTAGAAAAAATGCCTGCCTTGATGAGAGAGGTGTCCCTTAGCTATGGATGCTGTTAGATGGCCTCTCATAGCAATGTGACCTGCAGGGGATAAATAAGGCAACTCAAAACTTCCACTCATAGAAGCAGGGTCCTTATCATAAATGAAATGAATCCTAAATAGAAGCAGGTAGTTTCCTTCTTTTCTCAAAGAACAGCGTTCCAAGAGCAAGCCACAGAGGTGGGATTTAAAGTCAGACACGTGAATATTCCATATCCCTAAATCCCAACAAGTTGATACCTAACAGCCCATCCAGGGAAACACAAATAAGAATGAAACCAGAGTGAAAATAAAGCCAGGACAAAGTGTTCCCTATGGCACTGGGAGATAGGCCTGTTATCAGCTCCATCCAGGGCGCAGGGTCAGGGGAAGTAGAGCGTGCAGTGCTGCCGGGGAATTGCCCAGCCAGCTCCAGCCCTTATGAGGCACAGAGCCAGCTCCACAAAATTCCAGGCCTTCTCCCTCTGTTCCACTGTTTGCAGGATTCAGCGGAAGGGCCTTTAATCTGGGCAGATCAGGAGGAGGCACAGCATTCAGTAAACAAAGTAAGGGATACTCAGGACTTACAAATGATAGCCAAGACCTGCTTCAAATATGGGTGTGGTTGGGAATACAAATGAAACAAGACTGGTCATGAGTTGCTAATCATTAAAGATGAACAATGAGCGCATGGTGTTTCATTTCACCATTCTTTATTCTGAAACTGTTCCAGAATAAAAAAAAACAAACAAAAGAAATCATACATATTCACTGTGGAAATTTAGGTAAATATTAAACAAAAAGCCACTAAGAAGAAAATAAGCCTGTCACCTATCAGAAAAATATAATCCTGTCACCTAAGACAACTACCGTTATCATTTTGTTCAATTTCCAATCTTTTCCACATTTTCTTTCTTTTGCTTGCAAAACAGAAGTATACTGTCCATATTGTTTTATAACCCACTTGCCATGTCCATCTTTATCTTATGTATTATTCTAAAAATTCTTAAAATGTTAAAACATTGAGTTGTATCTTCCCTAAGGACAATTTTTCCTAGAAGAGGGACCATAGAGAGAACAAAGTTACTATTAGAGCCAACTGATACTAATATCTTACATATTTTTCTTTTTTCTTTCTTTTTTTTTTTGAGACGGAGTTTCACTCATGTTACCCAGGCTGGAGTGCAATGGCGCGATCTCGGCTCACCGCAACCTCCGCCTCCCGGGTTCAGGCAATTCTCCTGCCTCAGCCTCCTGAGTAGCTGGGATTACAGGCACGCGCCACCATGCCCAGCTAATGTTTTTGTATTTTTTTTAGTAGAGACGGGGTTTCACCATGTTGACCAGGATGGTCTCGATCTCTTGACCTCGTGATCCACCCCCCTCGGCCTCCCAAAGTGCTGGGATTACAGGCTTGAGCCACCGCGCCCGGCCTCTTACATATTTTTCAAGTCATTAAATATCTTAGATAGTATGACTGTTGCATAGTCTTTATCCCAAAGGTATTCCATAAACTACTTCCAATTTTTTGTTACCATAAGGCTGTGGTGAGCCAGGGAGGATGATATATATTATAAATAGGTGATGTCAAATGAGAAAGAAATTGCTTAGTATGCGCCTGAGCATAAACTGACAGCACAAAGGAAAAGAAAAGGCGAGGAGAGATGCTGGAGGCTGATCAGCTGCATAATTCTGAGCAATTATTAACTTTCCAGGTATTCCCTTTTGTAAAGGTCATGGTGAGGTATAAGAGAAAATCTGAACACGTACAACACTGAAACTAGCTCACAAAGTACCTATCCGTCAACAATAATTCACCAGGTCCAGATGATGAATTAAGAAAATCTGCTAGCATCGCCTCTGAAATGCTTGAGTCTTGAAATACTGAGTTTTCAAAAGGTTGAAGAGTTCATCCATCGGGGATGGCACAGGAAGGTTCCATAGACATAAGACTAGATCAAATGGCTTCTCAAACAATACTGTGGTCCAAGCGATCAATCATGCCCTTTCAATTCATCTAATTAAATAAAATACACTCCGACACTGCTTAGGCCTGTAATTGGGGTCTTTCTTCAGAGAAAAACGAATTTGTCTCTCAAAAAAAGAAAATCCACAAAATCCTCAAGGTGGGGAGATGAAGGGGATCCTATGTCTTCCCTGTACTATTTTTTTCCTACCAAGAAGCAGAATTTGGCTGAATGTCTGTGGAGAAAACACCTCCTACAGTCAATATCTGAAAGTCAGTCAAAAATAATAATTTTTCTTTCTGAATCAATGTCACAAACTATTTTGTGAAAATTTGAAAGGTTCAGAACTGAATACATTCTAGCTATGTTCCGTGTGGCTCACTCAGACTGCTAAAAGACACCAGGGACTTCTGAATCAAACCATTTGGCTCTGGCCAGCAGCTGGGAAGAGGCCATACTGCAGCCGTCCTGGATAGGAAGCCACTATTTCTTCTCCAGGAGGGGCCCACGGACTCTGTGACGAGCAGAACCACAGTGGGACCAAGAGAACGGCAGACGGCCCTGCTGCTTTCTTTACATTTTACCTTCTCCTTATTCATTTCCGTCTGTCACTTTGTTTTTTTATTTCAAAAGGGACAAGTGCAGTTTTCTTCCCATCTTGTCAAGGATTAAGTGGAGAGGAAATATGAGTCTGTATGACACAACAGACTCAAGCTCTAAGGTCAGAAACTATGTAAGTGAGCAATTAAGTACTTATCATTAGTAAGTGAATAGCAGCTGCAGGCTCTCTAGACCGAGTTCTAGCCTCTGACCCTGCCCTCCCCAAATGGAAGAGTCCCCACCTATTTTGTTTTTTTTAAGACGGGATTTCATCATGTTGGTCAGGCTGGTCTCGAACTCCCGACCTCAGGTGATCCGCCTTGGCCTCCAAAGAGTCCCCACCTATTGAGGAATCTGCCAGAATTTCCAAGAAAGCATAACCAATTATTCACTCTATTGATGACCACTATGAAAAAATCTAAATGTATACACAAAGACTAGGAAGAGACACACACATTTTTAAAGTATGTATTATGATAGTGAATTCAAGAGTGGGTTTTTTTTTGTTGTTGTTGTTGTTATTGGGTTGTTTCAACAGTAGAAAATTATTTTAAAACTAAGTTATTTTAACATTCCATTTATATATTTTGCTAAGATTGAAACCTCTCGGAGCATGAGTTCATTTCTGATCTAAGTCTAGGCCCTCCCTCTGGATTTTTTTTTTTTTGGAGACGGAGTTTCACTCATGTTACCCAGGCTGGAGTGCAATGGCGCGATCTCGGCTCACCGCAACCTCCGCCTCCTGGGTTCAGGCAATTCTCCTGCCTCAGCCTCCTGAGTAGCTGGGATTACAGGCACGCGCCACCATGCCCAGCTAATGTTTTGTATTTTTAGTAGAGACGGGGTTTCACCATGTTGACCAGGATGGTCTCGATCTCTTGACCTCGTGATCCACCCGCCTCGGCCTCCCAAAGTGCTGGGATTACAGGCTTGAGCCACCGCGCCCGGCCCCTCCCTCTGGATTATATATGACAGAGAAGTAGGAGGTAAACAAATAACTAGAACTGCAACCAAAGATGTCACACAATTCTTTTTCAACTGGGTTTCCCAAAAGAGCAATCTCTAAGATTTGTCAAAATTGATCCAGAAAGTTCTACAAGCTTCTATGCCTATGACGTGACGTTTACTTTTTTTCCCTCAAAAGAAACCAAAAAGCCAATGTATAAATGCAGAACAGCTGTCTTCTGGCAGACAGTACTCCATTGCACACAACCACACCCTGACACAGAGACATACACCAGCCCAATCCATTCCCGAGCTCCGGCTGATTTGATTGCTGTAGATTTCCCAGAGGTTCCACTGAGCTCATTCTCTGACTTTGGAGGGGTCAGGAGCCACATGCTGGGGCACTCAAAGTCTCTTGCAGGAAGTACCAACACCCACTGACACTCTCTACCTTGACCTCCCTGTGCAGGGACAGGACCAGAAAGGAAAGTTACCTTGCAGACGGCAGCCTGGAGTACTGCATCAAAGCCCCCCTCAGGGGCATCTCGGTTCCGGGACACCCTCTGTTTCCGAACTTCCTCATTGAAGCTGTCCACTCTGTCTGTGAGAGGCAGCAGATGGCGGAACCCAAAGGAGGGGACGCAATTTGGAAACAACTTGTAACTAGAGAGAAAGAAGAGAAGAATCACTTTTCCATCATTGTCTGTAAATCTTAACCAAGTGTTCTGAGCGTTCACTGAGTGCCTTGAGAGGCACCAATAAATATTTACCCAGCACCTACTACATGCCCATAGGACAGGCACAGCGAGCAAAGATAAATAACATAGTCCTTACTCTCCAAACATCAGCCCTAAACTGCAGGCAACGCAGCATATGCCAAGTTGTAAATGAATGGTAGGGGCAAATGGTTCCAAGGAAACAGAGATAATAGTAGGCTACTGTGATTGGAGGAAGGCTTGTCATGGGCCTTGAAAGACGTGTGGGACCCAAGGTGTGGGCCAGCCTAGGCACAATGGAGAGGAAATGTCCTCTGGGCTAAGGAACGTGGACAATGTCCAGTGAGGGCAATGTAAGTGAAGTTACTCCATGCAACCAGCTTCTACATCGATTCTGCTGTTGCTGCCACGTGACAAAGGATCACAGGATCACATAACTTCATCATGTCAACCCACTCAGTAACCAGGATGTGCAGGCACACGAACAAATGCTCAATGGAACAGGAATGAAATCATCTTATCTACTGCTTCATTCATTTCTAAATATTGTGCTGACAAACTACCAATTCTGCTAAATGCAATAAAAATTATTTAGAAACTAAGTATCTTCAAATGAAAAGTTATATCTGGAATTGGGAAAGAAGGAAATATTGCACATCAGTAATAGGTTAATACCAAGCCTTTCTCCTGAAATATTGGGTGAGCTCCTTTTCAGTCTTCTGCGGAGGCTACAGCCGGCCCCAGTCCTGAAGTTACTTTCCATTACAGCTCTAAGAGTTTCAGCTTGATCTAGACCTAACAAAATTGGAAGAGAGAGCTTATATTGTTTTACATATGGGTTTACAAAGTAAAGGGAAGAGTATCCAAGCCAAAGAAGAGCATGTGCAAGAGTCCTGTGGCAGGAAGGAGCACAGAGCCCAAGGACAGAAGGTGGCTGGGGGGCTGCAGTGCAGAGTAAGGGGTGAGGAGGGGTGAGGAGGAGCCTAGAAGGCAGGCTGGGTCGGACTGTGCAGGGTGTCTGACTGTGTTAAGGAAGTGCCTCTTTCAGAATAAATGAATGATGGAAAACGAGCACTAACAGGCCTGAGGGAAAGGCTTTATAATCTAATTCAAGCTGCACGCCTGAGAAAGAAAACAGCTAGGAGGACCCTGCCTTAACTGCCGTCAAAAAGCAGCCTCACCAGGGCAGGTCTGGGCAGGCTCCCCTCTGTAAAGAGGCAATCTTTGGCTCTGTAAGGGGCCGTTCCATTCCCTTTCAGGGCTACAGTCCCTGCTCCGTCCACACAGTCACAATAGCACAGCACAGCGTCCCCAGCAACAGGCCCACCCTGCAGAGAATCAATCAGTCCCACTCCTGTGATACTTGCCACTCTCCCTCTTGAGGCCAAGGCCGGCAGGAGGGGCGATGAGCTCTCCCTGCCTGGCTTTCCTTTGTGTTTCTTTCTTCTCCTTTCCTGAAATCTTCATGAACGCCTTGTGCTTGGACAGGTGGAACTCGCTTTTAACCTTAACCTGCAGCCACCCAAACTTTCCATTACCTCCTAGTTTTCTCATAAAAAGAACAATCATGGATATTACATTCCCAGCTGGAAGGAGGAACTGAGGTCCCATCTTCAGCTACTTGGCAAGTGGATAACAGGCCCAGAAGGAGGTAAATCTATCCAAACTCTCCCCCTCTCTTCCTCCAAGATCCTGCATTCTCCTATGTGGCTCTGGCCCACGATTTAGGACTTCAGGTGTGTGTTTTTGTTATACTTGGTCAGGTCCGTTGTGGACAGGGAGGAAAAACACTGAATAATAATTGCTGTTTTACCAGGAACACTGTGAGCAACTCGCTACAGCTCAGCATGTTTTACCTCCTCCCTTTCACTCCCGCAAACAGAAAACACCAATGAGCAGATACATTTTTACTGCAAAGAATGACTGTTAAGAAGTTAGCAATGAGAAAAGCAGTTGCCAGAGAGAAGTCTTCATTGCAGAGAATTGACTATAACCAAGCCAGAGTCACTTCATACCAAGAGGTGACTTGGTATGAGCCTTGTCACACAGACCCTAGGCGTGTCTCCACTGCCACCGGGATAGGATGTCACCTGTGACAAGTTATCTGACTTAATCCAGAACAGCCATCTGAGTGGCCTGAAGACCTGGATGTTTTGGGGTCATTCCGGGAGACCAGCCCACCCCTCTTATGTGTCTGTGCTGTAGGACCCCAGATAAGCACCATGCACACGGAGTTACTAAATTGAGGATTATTAACAAGGGAGATAAAAAAATAAAACATATATGGTTAAAGAGCCAAAGGAGTGTCTGTATGTATAAAAAGTGAATCCAATTTGAAGACACCAGACCGAGGCAAATCCAGAAAATAATCTAATGCCTCAGGACAATATCATGGATCAAGCTGACATGGAAAGGCTCTCCTCTAACTCTAATCATATGGAACCACTGGATAAAATGTAATTAAAAAATTTTTAATATATACCCTAGACTGGAAGCTTAGAAAGTAAATCCCAGAAATGAAGAGGAAACTATTCAATAAATGAATGAAACTTTCAGAAGTATTTGGTTTTGGTGAAAAGGAAAAAGAAAGAAAGAAAGAGAAAGAGAGGGAAAGAGAGAGAGAGGGAAAGAGAGAAAGAAGGAGCCAAAAACCAAAAAACCAAATGAATGGATTTAAAAGAATTGGTGGGGGCCAGATGCCATGGCTCACACCTGTGATCTCAGCACTTTGGGAGGCTGAGGCAGGCAGACCACCTGAGGTCAGGAGTTCGAGACCAGCTTGGCAAATGTGGTGAAACTCCATCTCTACCGAAAATTTAGAAATTAGCTGGGCGTGGTGGTGAGCGCCTATAATCCCAGCTATTCAGGAGGCTGAGGCAGGAGAATCACTTGAACCTAGGAGGTGGAAGTTGCAGTGAGCTGACATGGCACCACTGCACTCCAGCCTGAGTAACAGAGCAAGACTCTGTCTCAAAAGAAGAATAGGTGGGAAATGAGCAGGCACTCATGCCAAGGACCTCCCAATGTGTCAGGCCTTGACTGAGGCCCCATGGGCTTGGAGCAGGGTCTACCATAAACAGATGCTGAGCCTCGGTCCTGCACAGGGCTGAACACTGGAATAGGGCTTTCTGCACAAAGCTGAGCACTACAAAGAGCTGTGTGCCACTAAAGCCAGAAAGGGAAACACTCCAGCCACTGGTCTAGGAAAGCGGCACAGAAGCGGACCATCTACCATGGGTGAGATGAATTACCCAAAAAAACCGTAACTCCAGGCCTGAGCAATTGGAACACACTGCTTTTATGGCAAATAAATCCCCAAATGAAAAATTACAGAAAAACTAGTCCTACGCTGAACTTGGAGATTCTCGACAGCAGCAAACATAAAACTGCTCTGCAGAGATGCTCCCACAACCTCCAGTGAAGATGTACTAGTGAAAAGCTTGTAAATCACATGAGAAACAATTCATTAGGGCATGTCAATAGGTCCAGTACACTGACCTGCTGTAGATCCCCCTGAAGGATCCATAATTCAAGAAGCAGAAACAGAATAATTTAGAATACTTTAGGCCAGGCACAGTGGCTCACACCTGTAATCCCAGCACTTTGGGAGGCAGAAGCGGGCGGATCATCTGAGGTCAAGAGTTCAAGACCAGCCTGGCCAACATGGTGAAACCCCATTTCTACTAAAAATACAAAAATTAGCCAGGTGTGGTGGTGGACGCCTATAATACCAGCTACTCAGGAGGCTAAGGCAGGAGAATCACTTGATCTTAGGAGACGTTGGATGCTGCGCTGCCTGGATGTGGGGAGACAAAGCTTGGCCTGCTCACCAAGCCACAGTGTGCCCCTGCGGTGTGCGTGTGGTGAGCCGAGATGGTGCCACTGCACTCCAGCCTGGGCAACAGAACAAAACCCTATCATAAATAAATAAATTAATCAATTAAAATAAAATACTTTAGAACAAAGATATTTAAAACGTTCAAAGAGAGAAAATAATAGAAACCAAAAGCCAGATAGGATAGTGTTAGAAAAACAAAACAGCAGGCTCTGGGAAAAAAAAAATAGTATGAAAAACAGAAGGGTCTAAAAAAGAACCAAATATAAATTAAACAAATAAAAAACATAGTCACTGAAATTCAAAAGCGAAATTTCAGTATATAGATTAAACAGTTGAAGAGCTAAATGGTAAACTGGAAGAAATACAGCTAAGAGAGAAAAAGAAAGGTAGAAAACATGGGAGAAAAATTAAGACACAAAGTTTAGTATGAGAAATTTCAACTGACATCAGACAGTATCAGAGAAAATAGGAGACAGGAAATAAGAGAGATCATGCCTGTACCCTCAGATTAAACAAGCAGACCAAGTTATATGCAATAGGAGAGAACTCTCTGGTTTTTTTTTTGTTTTTTTTTTTTTTTTGAGACAGAGTCTTGCTTTGCTGTCCAGGCTGGAGTGCAGTGGTGCCATCTCAGCTCACTGCAGCCTCTGCCTCCTGCATTCAAGCAATTCTCCTGCCTCAGCCTCCTGAATAGCTGGGATTACAGGCACCTGCCACCAAGCCCGGTTACTTTTTGTATTTTTAGTAGAAACAGGGTTTTGCCATGTTGGCCAGGCTGGTCTCAAACTCCTGACTTCAAGTGATCTGCCTATCTCAGCCTTCCAAAGTGCTGGGATTACAGGTGTGAGCCACCACGCCCGGCCTTAACAATATAAATAAAAATCCAACCTAGATACATTGGTGTGCATATACTTACAGAATAAGAAAAGCACAGGAAAATACTAGAGCCCACCAGAGATGAGGAAAATGATTAGACAGGCAGAAAGCTTAATATCAGCCACAAGAGATGCCAGAAGACAATGGAATAGCATCTTCAAGGTCGTGAAGGAATAGTATGACTTCTTGGGAGAAATGCGTAAAGGTAAAAATATAAATGGGGATGAAAGGTATCATCTCACTTGCACAAAATTTTACATGATACGTATTTCAACAACAACCCAATACTTCTAACAAGAGAAAAAATGTTCAGAACTGGAAATAAAGTGCCCAATTAATCCTTCAAACCTTATATCAGTGAATATCATGTGACTCTTCCCAGTGAAACGGTACCTATTACTCAGAATAACATTAAGCGGTTCCTTAATCTGATGATTAAATTACTCTAAGCCTTTCTTCCCATGGCAGCCCTGGGACTTCTTACTTCAGATTTCACATTTCTGGTGCAGTCTATGACAGGAAGGGGTGAGTCTAGGATTTGGATCCTTTGGCAGAAACACTGGGAGCCGAAGAAGGAGGGACAAACATTAGGGCAGTCCCATGCACACTGGCTCTCTCTTCTCAGAGCTGTCCTGCACAGTAATTAAATCCCTTATCCTGACTTCCTCATCTCCTTAAAACTTCCCGGGGGCTAACGCTGCTTCCACCACAGGAGAGAAACACCTAACTGAAGGCACCACTGGAGCTTAAGAAGGGCTGTGGTTTTCCACAGCAGCTGGAGGAAAGGGGTAGTTTGACAAGGATGAACAAACATCCCTGAGCTGAGGCATGGAATGGAAGCAGGTTCAACTGGCCAGCTGCAAGACAAGAGGGAGTGGTAGAAACTGCGGCAGCTAAACAACCTGTGGTCCAAGCCCAGCTTTCCCAGATCTCCCAGTTTTTCAAGAAAACCTAGAAATCCTAGTTATTCTCAATTAGATTTTCTGATTAAAAAAAAAAAATGTTGGTAACTATCTCACAGTGCTACTAGCAGAAGACAAGCAAAGCACACGTACAGGCTGGCTCAGGCCCAGGAACAGCCAGATTACATCTCCAAGAGTGTGCCCTTCTCTCCGAGGAGCAGTGGGAAATTTCTGAGGAGACGCAGGATGCTGCGCTGCCTGGATGTGTGGAGATAAAGCTCGGCCTCCTCACCAAGCCACACTGTGCCCCGCGCTGCGCGTGCCTCCCCAGCTTAGAGAAGAGGGCTTCGCATAACTCAGGCCAGAGGTTTCCTTCCACGCTCTCCTTCTTCACTGCACTTCCTGCCTTACAATCAGCTTCAGTGTGCCTTGTACTCACTGTCAAGAGTTTTACTGTCTGCAAGGGGGTCTGCCTTTGAGGGCTTAGAGAGTGAGCTCTGAATAAGTAATGTGTCATAACCTTGACTATTTAAATGCTGAGCGCCTGGAGCCAGTCCTTGAGTCTCTGCCAGCTTCCAATCTAGAATCTGTCAGTGGATGGGCCTTGGAAGAATGAAAGTGGGGACACACCCTATCTGTCTGGAGAAAGGGCCCAATTAGGACAGAAGTAAAAAGAAGCAAATAGGTCGGGCGCGGTGGCTCAAGCCTGTAATCCCAGCACTTTGGGAGGCCGAGGCGGGTGGATCACGAGGTCAAGAGAT